GCTCTTATCTTAGCTCACAATTTCTCCAGGGTCAATCTTTCGTTATTTGGATGGACGCACAAGAAATAAAACATGATTTTACTTAATCTCGGAGCGTATCTTTAAGATAAGAAGAAATCCTTTATAACGTTGCTCTAACTTCCAGATGCACGAAAGCATGCAGGCGTGCTAACGGTTACTTTTATTTATAATAGATGATTACATTCATCAGAAGCATATCTGCTATTTCGCAGGTAGTGCTATGACGTTTCTTTTAGCGAAAAATCATTAATAAGCGTCGATAATATCTGTGCAGGTCCAATAATGTGATTTTGTCTTATCAGAAATAGTCACCTTACTACTGGATACTGTTTGACTTGAAGAAAAGCTCAGTAGACTTTTTTTATCCGGGTGTTGCTTAGGGAGGAAAGGCGGTTCAAAAACTTTAAATCACATGTTGCTTTGATCACTGTAATAACTGCTGTATAAATCGGCGCTTTTTGCATACAATACAGCTTTGCCGAAAGACCTACTCTCATAACCTTTAGAAGTGCCATCGCTCTGAAAACTATATGAAGTCAAATTGTTATATAAAGCATTATAATAAGCCGTGGGCACCTTATAAGCAAGAAGGCGGAGCTGATCTGAGCCCAAACCACAATGTAGACTGGCTACATGCTTGAAGCGAGATGCGGCCGCGTGGATCGACATTTGGTGCACAAGGACCACTTACTCCTGAGTGTTTAGATACTCAAGAATGAATAGCTAAGAATAGCCTATGAACTTCTCCATAGGCTATCAAAATTATGGATTATAGTTAATGATTCACAAAATCATCAACAGACCTTTTACTATAAATTAACTTGGAAAGCCCACCCGACTTTCTCAACTTCAACATCTCCGTTTAGACTACATTACCGCAGGCTTCATCTATCGTTTGTTGAATGTAATCAAAGAAATCACAACAACTCCTTGGCACTTTCATCTAGGGGCTAAAGAGCCTAATTCAAGAGTATTCAGCAAAGCATAAAGAGTTTTTTGAAGTGTGGTATGCCATCAACTAAACTGCAGAGAGGCCAATGCACGTTACGCAGAAGAGAAAAAAACGTGCTGGCGTACGAAATGAGGTCATTTCGGGTGGTGGTGTAGTGGTGTGGTAGTAAGCGCCTACACACATCATTCACCCATCGCCATCGCTCTTCACGATTTAGCCAACTGTAAATAATTTATTAGGACAAACTGTATGGATAATCAAGATAAGTTTGTCGGCGCTAAAAGTTGCTTCAAGATCTTTTTAGATTCCAATTCAAGAAATTCTTCCTTAATTTTTACTTCTGATCCTGACCTTCCATCTTTCACTGAATCGTTACCCATACTACATATCTGAAATAAGTTGTGCAAACGGTTCTCTTTCTAGGAATCTAGAAAACTGTAGAGTCGCCAAAACGCTTTTCTCTTGAAGTACCAAAGAGTTAGAAAATTAAGTAATGATTTAAAATTAAGTATGCTGTCTACTATCATTGGCTTTTCCAAAACCTTCCATATCATTTAAATGTTTCCTTCAGCAAATGCTTTTACAAATATCAGCACCTGCTCTTAATTTCAAGTTGGTAATATTTCCACGGATTTACCAAACGTCAATTTACCTTGTCAAAATTTTGGCGCCTAACATCTTCAACTGAATGTACTAGCTCAATTTAGAATTCAAAAATTTCTTTTCCTTTAGTTTTTTTTTCTACTCCCTTCTCTTTGCCAAAGAGCATTTACATAGGGTGCAAAAAGTCAAAAAATACAGTCGAGAATCTGCGATATACTTTCTCTGGGAAATGGGCTTCACTGATGTACAAGACCTTATAGGTGATAGTAATTCTTTTGGAGTGGTCGGGACTGGTAATTTGGCTGGATTAGTTTATCCTGAGGTAATAAAAAACCTTAATTTGTCGCTCATTAGTTCACTGCTAAGATTATGAACGATTATTTGTCCCCGTGAAAATTGCATCCCTAAGTTTCTTTTTCTAACGGTTACTTGTTCTTCACTCTCGTTCTCTTCTATTTGCAATCTCGGGGAATTCGTGTCATATTTAGAAATAGAAAGTTAATGATGGATTTGAGAAAGAAAACGTCTAAATTGTCCGAGACTGATAACAGATCCAACTATTGGGTATAGACGTAATATGCTTGAAAAAAATCAAAAGTTAGCACCAGCTGCAAACATTGCAGTGTTTTTAGAAGTTGAGTATAATAAAAATTGAGAGATAAAAAGCTTTTAGATCTTTTTATTTTATTTTTTGTCTGCTTCTTCCAATTAATCGAGTGAATTTTCAGAAATCCTAACAATTTACTCTTGAGATTTTATTCCTTCATTCTGAACAGTCGGTACTTTTCAAAGGCCAACATACTCTGAGAGTTTTTCGCATATATAGGAACTCTGTGCTGCGCGTGCAACTGAATAAATAGTCAAGTGCAAATGTATGTTTGAGCATGAAAATTATATGTACGACTAGACGAAGACATAAATAATGTGCCAATTATGGAGATCTTCCTGAGGTCTCCAATCTTGATTTAGAGACGGTTCCAAAATATACATCATTGTGAATAGCAAATATTTTAAATATAGCTCATACCAAAAAATTGCTTGCTACTTTGGCCATCGATTTATATCAAAAAACAATTTCTTACGCAATAGCGTGGAAGTTCAGAGTAACTTTTCTTAGCTATCAAATGGGTTGACATACAAAAAAGTATTGCAATTTCCGGCATTATGACTTCATAGATAGGACTGTTAAACTGGAAATTTTTATATGGTTGTAGAACATTGAGTCAACAATGCTTCTACATGTCACTCTCATGTTTCGCAATCCCAGCCTTATCAAGCGCATGGGCTCGAAACCAAGGATAATCGTTGCGAAACTCGAGGGTTTCGTCAATTTCATTGAACCCACTGTTCCATCGCCTGGACAGCGATTCGTGGACGTAGGCCCTGTCACAGCTGTTTCGGCTCATCAGAATTCTCGTCGACAGCGTCAAGATCGATGGCCAGTAGCTGGCTGGTGTGGGGCGAATGCAATTCGGGTGAGGGGGAGGTTGTCCTTTTCTTTGATTAGTCATCCGAGGATCCGCCTCTTCCCTCTCTCCACATCTCGCACCTACTAGCCGATGACTAATACTTGCGAAACAATGCGTTCACCCAATCAAATATTCTCCCATTGCTAAAATCAGCGACTTCGTCTAGCCGCTTCCGAGGTTGCTCTTAATAATCGCTGCTTTCTTCTAAATAGCCTTCGTCTCGGATTGGCAGCCTGAGCGGGAACTTCGCGTGACCAGCACCCTGATCTGCAATCATCCCCTCGTTTGGACTCACTGCAGGCGTTTGCGCACCA